TTAGTGCATACTCGTGGGTTACCATATGTGTTTTTGTGCATTGGGGTGCGTTCTGTTTAATGCATGAAAAACCCAACCTGCAGCATTATTGGCAAAACAGCACACGAGGGCCATCTTTAATATTGATTGGACCCTAGGAAAACATTTTCTTGGGCCCCCTGCCACACCATGCATTTTTGTCCCGCCATGCAATATTGCCTGCTATATGCCGACAGCACTGAGCCGCGCTGCAGCTGGGAAAGATCCTGACAACATCAGGATCCACCCCGCTACCTGATTGATTGCACTAAGTGAACAGTGCTGCATATGTATCTTTTGCAGGCTCAAGGGGCAGCTGCTTTGGGCCCCACAGCAATGATTGGGCCCGCAACTGCCCCTTTTGCCCCGCGTTAAAGACGGCCCTGCAGCACACCCAAACCACAACGCATGTGCACTATAGTGTCGGGGGTGTTGGCAGCTACTGTATGAGTAAATCGGGGCGCCATTCTAATTCAGCGCACAACATGTGTTGTGTAAAAGATGATTTTATTGCGTGATACCTTCAGGAATGCACAAGGGTGAAACTAACCTGAATCATATAAAGAGAAGGTTTGTAAAAATGACCTTTTCCAGTAACAAGTTTCTATTTAGTTAACAGTTCAATATAAAAGAGAACATGTTTATATAATATTGGAGAATGAGAAATGTCCGCTTGCTAATGGCGACCATTTCAGCTTTCATCAGTGTATAGTATAAGAGCAATAAATGATAATGGCCCCACATCCAATCATGGTCCAGATCTCGCTGTGTCACCTCCGAGACATTTCCAAAATTTGTCCCTTCTTTGACCCCACAAAGCTACTAATTCACTCCCTTGTTATCTCTCTCCTAGACCTAGACTCCCTCCTTGTTGGCCAACCTCTACAAAAGGCTAGCCTACCTTTAGTCTACCATGTATGCTGCTGCCAGACTCATACACCTTACCAACTTCTTATGTCCCCACCACTCTCTGCCAATCCCACCACTGGCTACCACCCTCGCCACTCTCTGCCAATCCC